GAAAAATTGGACTAGCTTAGTGTACATTGTATAATTTTTATGTCCTTCATCATCAAAATATTTTATACTTTGGCTCCTGCACACAAACTTCCAATTATCTTTGCTATACTTAACAATAGTCCCTCTCATGGTCTGCAGCTGAAGGTGATCTGGAATTGGTATGCATGTATTTGGCAAATGCTTATTAGCCTTACACATGCCTGGCACTTTTCTATCAATTTGGAATGCTGGTATTTTGAAGCAGGGTCAGCAGGTTTTTATACATGACACTGCTTCACAGCAGCCCGGAGCACAACCTCTGGAATGAAAGCTAGATGATGAGCTTTCCCTCTTTGGCTACTTCATTTCATGGCAGTATTTTCCAGCAGAGGCCGAGTCTGGCTTTTTCCCTCTGTGCCCCCTCACACAGCGGGGCACTGACCCATGATAGTCCTCGATAAGTAGGTGTCACTGTGTACTAAGTCCACAGTCACCAGGTCCTTGCGGAGTTCACTGTGGTGAGATAAGAAAGACTCCCCTTTCAGAGTGTTACTTGCTCTACGAAAGCAACACAGCTAAGGCATGTCCAGGTCTGTCTGTGCAACCTGATAATGACCATGACCCCTCACAAACCACACCACCCTGCCTTTCTCCAGCACCTACTACAGGTGTGGAGGGATAGCTTGAGGTGGCCTCACGTGTATCCCCCATTGTGTGAGGAGTGACAAAAATGCTAACTTCATGAAACACACCCTGAGAACCTCTCAGAATATGACCAGCAGACATAGCTTCCTGACTTTCACAGATGCAGTCGCTGATGGGTTAAGGACGTCAATGGAAATGCCCCAGGGCACACAGCCGCCCAGTGGTACTCAAGCCCAGACTTGTCAGAGCCCATGTCCTTTCTCACATGCTGTTCTGAGAGTCACGCTGTCATTTCATTTAATGGACAGAACAGTGAAAAATCAAGACCAGCTGACTTGGTCACTGTCACACCTTAAACTTGGCACCTGTTTCCTCATCTGGAGAATGAGGCTGACTGTGGTACACCAACCATCGCCCAGGGCCTGTCTAACTCTACAAATGTCTGACTTGAAACAGCCTCAAAAAGGCCTGAATTGAGAATGGAGAAAGTAAGTTTATTAAAAGCAGGCCAACCTTACCATCCCACTTCCACGAGCTCATGTCAAACAACAGCACAGGAAATGCACACACGCTGGTCTTTCTAATGCTTGGTGGTGGGACTCGGATGTCAGCTTCTTTAGTGTTTTAGCATCCCACTATCTATTGTTGGGACACAGAATCTTGATCTAAGAATCACCTTCTCTTTTCAGCAGAGTCACACAGAGCAAATTACTGCTTCTTGCCTGCTGCCCACCTGCCGAATATGCTAGTGAAGGCCTCAAGTGGCTTCAACATGCAGAGGGCCGGGTGAGGGCACTGTCCAGGTCCTCATGCCCATGGGTCTGGCTCACCTGTTCTGATTCCACACTGGCCTCTTTCAGTTTGCTCTCTGTGGCCTCTTTACATTTCTTCAGGTGTCTGACAGTTTCTTCCAGTTCCTGAAAATGGGATACAAAGGTTTCTATGAATTTCTAATGTACCACATGGAGCCCAAAGCCGTCTCTGCTGTAGCACCTAGGCAACCAACACTATGGTTGGGTGTTGGGCAGGCACCTTCTACCTTCAGGTGCAATGGACACATAAGACGAAAACTGTTGTTTCCAGGTTAACTTGTAGTCTACACGCAGGGATGTGGTTACAGATTTTGGTTTTGATTTATGATTCTGCTGATAAAGTGATTGACCTCTTTTTCGGAAATGGAGGGGTACTTTCCATGGCAGACAGTCCCCTAGAGAGATAAGCACGCCTAGACTTCCTGAAGCCCATTCCCCGGGACACAGTATCATGCTTTCATCAGGTGAGGAACTGCTAAGAGTCCTGTCCCAGAGTAGGTGCATCTGCCTGACAGGGGAGAACAGGGCTGTAACCCGCCTGGAAGGCTGTGAAGGTCTGCTCAGAAGTCTAACTTTGACTGGAGTTTCACACACATCAGCTCAAGCTGTTATTTTTTTTTTTTTTGAGTTGGAGTCTCACTCTGTCGCCCAGACTGGAGTGCAGTGGCTGCTTCCGGCCACCGCAGCCTCGACCTGCTGGGCTCTGGCGATCCTTCCGCCTCAGCCTTACCAGTAGCCGAAATTACAGGCATGTGCTACCACGCCCGGCTGATTTTTTTGATTTATTGTAGAGATGAGGTCTCGCTGCCCAGGCGGGTCTCGAACCCGCGGGCTCAGGCAATCCACTCACCTCAGCCTCCCAAAGGCGCGGGATTACAAGCTGAGCCACCGAGCCCGGCTTCAAGCTGTTATTTGAGAATGAACATTATATTTATTAAATTGAAAAAAAAAGAGAACATTTGCCATATTCAAACTACAGGCTCTGTCCTTGATACTGTTATCCTAAGGACTTACTAGGGTGAACAACTTGTAAGTGTGTTTTCTTCCATGGAGTCTAGAAAGGCCGGTGCAGGGCTTACACTGAGGGGTCTGGAGAAGCCTCTCACCTGGCACCGGTGCTCCAGCTCCTGCCTCGCTTTGTGTTCTGTCTCTAGCTGCCGCTCCTGCTGTTTGTTCCGAGTGGAGGTGTCGTGCTGGCTCTTAGCCAGCATCTGCATTTCTCTCTGCAGATTCATCATTTCACATGCAAACCTCTGGATGCTCAGAGACTATGAGAAGACAAAGAGGGAGATGTGGGGACCCACTCACGTCTTGGTTTCCATTTGCAGGACAGATTGACACAGAGTTCATGGAACTTGTCTACCTGTTCATAGTTCTTTTTCTGGTACTGATCCTTAATTAACTCCATCTGCCTCAGTTCCATCGCTATGTGCTGAAAGTAAACATGGAAATAACATAAAAAGATGATCAGAGGCAGCTGGCTCACTCTTCCTGCCAGCAGTAGGATGATGGATGGAATCCCATGGGATACCCAAGGTACCAGTTCCTACTTGGCTTCTTCTCACCTGGCTCCTGACCCTAAGGAGCCAAGTTCAGCACAATTAATGTGAAAGGGACTGAGGGGAGCCATATGTGATGCCGGCAGCCAACAGGACACCAAACATTCACAAACATTCACACGACAGCCTCTCAGGGAAGGAGATGGTCCCTCACAGACACTCTGCCCCATTCCCAGTTATGGCAATACTTCCTTCTAAAACCCAACTGCTCTCACCCCCGCCCCAGCTGTCAGGCCCCTGTAAGTGCCATGGGGGAGAAGAGGCTTTGCATGGAACCTTCATCCTCTCGACGTTCTGAGCGTTATTTGCCTTGGCCGACAAGTGGAGCTTAATTTGGGCCTTTTGGTTCTTTATTTTTTCCTTGTTGCTGTCCAGTACTTTTTCCAGCTCTGAAACTTTCTGTCGCAACTCTCGGTTGGCCCGGGACACTTCCACTGATCTGTAGTTGGCTTCGTCAAGGGTCTTCTTCAGCTGAAAACGCAAAGAAACACTGAGGCATGATATCTTCCATTGCTAGAGAAGCTTGTTCAGTTTCATCCTGGTATTTGTTGTCTTTTAAAAAGGAGGGAATGAAGCAATAATAACAATGTCTGATCAAGTCGTTTTATGGAGCAATGGGACAAGTGGTTTTCAAAATTCTTAACACAAGAAGAAAATATTTCTTAGAATAGATAAGGAATGTACATATGTATTTGTTGTTGGCATTTTAAGAGCATGGTTTTGGAGTTCAAGTCTCAGCCTCACCACTTTGCAGCAAGTGGTTTGGAAACTAACTACCTTAACCCTCAAAGTACATCACCTTGAAAGTGTGTGTCCAGCTGACTCAGAGGATGCAGAGCACAGTTAAATAAGATAATATAGATACAGAATGGAGTATCTGGAAATAGTAATGGCTTAGGGACTCTAATGCTATGCTTTTCTCTTGCTTTCTGTCATGTACAACCTCAGGTCTGGAGACATGAAAGTGAGTTATATGGTGGTTTATATAGACACCTGTCAGTTGTTGGCTATCACTGCACACATTTCTATAATACTGTTTTTTGTTCTTAAGGATTTTAACAAATTTCTTTTGTGAAGAAGCAGCATAGTGATTACTTAAAGGATTGTACCGAGTCCCCTTCCTCCTAACATGTCCTTAAATTGGTGCCCCTTGAACTTTAGGATGCAGCAGCGGTTCAGGGGGGAGGTGGCAGGAAGGTGTCATTCTTACAGCTGTTGGCATCTGACACAGCAGAGGGCGAGCCGGGGTCTGCAGCCCCTTTCCACACCAGCTCCTTCCCTCAGGTCCTCGCATCACCCACAGCCATTTACTACCACCCAGCTAGCTTCCCGTTAGACATGCCACTGGCCCTCATTCAGCCTTGCCTGGAACTGGAGGAGCCCCACAACCACCACCTACTTTGTACTGTTTCTGTTTAGGCCACAATCATTACTTAACAGTTATGTTCCAAGCTAATCCTCAAAACAAACCTGGAGCGTACTTGTGATGATTTCTACTCTGTGACTGAAAGAATGGAGACTCAGGAAGTCAGTCACACTCAAGGATAGCAAATTTACACACAGCAAATAAGAGGTGGGGGGACAGGGGAGGGGAGGAACTCGGGCCATGCCCACCCCAGTAGTTTCTCACGAAGGTTCCTTCACTGTTCCGTCTCTCATATAATGGCACCACTACCACAGGTTGAACAGGTCCTTGCTAAGAGGATCCTGGTTCGTAAGCAAACAACAAGCTCAACTAAAGGCATATCCTATATTTAGTGCATCTTCTTGTTTCTCACAGAATTTGCTTTCTGTAACATTTATATAGTGCTTTGCCATTCTCACAATTGTTCTGTGTACATTTTTTGAGTTTGGTGTTAAATATAACCCACTTGGCAAAACACAGCCCTGCCCCCAAAACCAGGGATTACCTTAGCCTCCTCCTCTCCTTCATTCATGATACATCCGATGTCTGACACATCTGTTAAAATGGCTTTCTGACTCAACTCACTTACCTAGCACTCGCACTTGCTGTTAGTTTCCTCGAGCCTCCATGTCTCCAGTTTCTCTCCATTCCGCCCACTCTTCACCACTGTCATCTTAACCAGCTAAAGTTATTTCAGACATCTCTGCCCAGAAACCAGCACACTCTGCCTCTAACAGCTCGCACCCAGCACCTGGCAACGAAGGCCACCAGCAGGCACTCCATCCAAGCTAACGCTCTTTCGGACATCTTCCTGCCTCTGCTCTGATCAAGAGGATCCTTTTGCCTCCCCACGTGTCCTGTTCCTGCTGGTAACCAAGCATGGCCTGCACTCTCATCAACCTGCCAGACTAAAGTAAACTCTTTCTGATTCTAGCTGTTCAGGAAAGGTCTCTGAGGCTTCCCCAGAGTCTATGACCTGAGTGGGCATCACAGACATGGCCACCTAACACCCTCAGAGCACGAAGACAGTGCTCCTGCTTTCTCTAGGCCTTTCAGGAGAAAGCAGATCAAATCAGAAGCCAGTCATGTGAACCATGGAGATGGAAACCTGGCTTCTGCCCGTCAGACGGCAGTCTCCTTCCTCCTGCACCCTACCTGGTGCCGCTCTTATGGAAAAGCTCTCATGAGGGCATTCCTCTGTTGGACAGAGGGCTCTACACCAGAAACTGCTTTCATGTGATTCACTGTACAAAGAGAGGGCTCTGTGGCACCTGACTGCTGGTAAAGGGGGACTAAAGGAGCCAAGGCCACCTGCAGCCCCTCTGAGGTCCTGAGCCACTCCTTCTCCTTGAGGGCCCACTCAGAGAGAAGCGTCCAGGCTCGCTGGGTACCTCAGCCATTTCCCGCTGTGTCGCCTTCTTGGTCGTCTCCCTCTCGGTCTGGAACTGCTTCCTTAGGGTCTCTATGCGCTCAGCATGCAGTTCTGCTTCCACTTTTGATTCCTCTGTCATTCGTTCTCTGTTTTGAACAAGAGAAATGCTAAAATGGCTTAGAAGTCATTCCAGAGGTAAGGAAGGAAGCCTTGGAGGGGAATGTGTGTGATTCATAAATAAGCAGGAGCTCGCTGGCAGGTGAATCTGTAGATCAGGAGCTCATCCACAGAAGAGGGCATGCACCTGCAGCATTAAACTAGCTCTCCATAAAGAGATCCAGCCAAAAGGGGGAGAACTCATGTCAGAGACAACATTAGAGCAGCAGTCACATTGCAAAAGAGGCATTTGTTTCTGTTTTTTCATGCCTTTTTGCTATCAGCTGTTTACTCCTTAAGTTTTAACTCCAATTCTACTGTTTCCTTATCTCTAAAGGGAGAGTCTCACATGAGGTCAGCATTCCTAACTCGGGTACCTTGGTCAACCTATGGCAGGGCATCTGAGGTTCCCTGAAATGATACACAGAATGTGAGTGTAGAAAGTGATGTGGGTGAGTCCACACTCCTAAAAGGACAGGCGACTCCAGAAAAGGATAGGAATGCACGTCCTCAACCAGTCCCAAGGCTTTCCCCACCTTCACACTCTCTAGCTGACAATGATTTGCACGTGACACTCCATGCATCTTCAGGACTTCTCAAAGGGCAGGAGGCACCTGTCTTGCCACGAGGTCTTCCTCCTCCCTCCTCCTGACCCCCTGGTTCTCATCTGAATCACAAATCCAGGTCCCCAGCACCTCTGAAGCACCTCTGCTGATGGACTCAGTGGGTCCCCTAGGCGGCACTGACTTGGTCTACAGAAGAGACAGTAGGTGGAGCCTCTCCTGGTCCTGTTCCCCTGGTGACCTTGGTATGCCACCTCTGAAAGTTGCTGACACTGTCTTGAGGCACAGCACAAAGGAGAGGTCCTGAAGCCAGAAGACTTCATTAAGGTTTGTTACTTATCACATCCACACACTCCTGCTCACACCCACCCCAATCTGAAAAATGGGCAAAAAAACCATATGGAGATACAGAAAGGGAAGAAAGCTACTGCTTGTACAGTATTTTGGTTTTGTTAATATAATAACTGTCTAAATTGTCTTTAAATGTATTGTGCCTATTTTTCTTTAAGGGTGTCGGGGGCAGTAAACAAGGGTAAGGTTTTAGGCTACCAACTTCAGGGGAAGAGCATCTTTTTTTTTGTTTTGAGTTGGAGTCTCACTCCATCGCCTGGGCTGGGGTGCAGTGGCATGCTCACGGCCACTCCAGCGTCAACCTGCTGGGCTCTGGCGATCCTTCCGCCTCAGCCTTCCAAGTAGCTGGAATTATAGGTGTGTGCTACCACACCCAGCTAATTTTTTGATTTATTGTAGAGATGAAGTTTCACCAAGTTGCCCAGGCTGTTCTTGAACCCATGCGCTCAGGCAATCCCCTCACCTCAGCCTCCCAAAGTGCTGGGATAACAGGCTTGAGCCACTGTGCCCGGCCTGTATTGTGCTTATTTCAGCAATATGATTAAGACCACGAGTTTTGAAGTCGGCCTACTGCTGCCTGGACCCACATCCCAACTCTCGTGAGACGCTGTTCAATATTAGATGTGGTTCACTATCTTCCATGCTTGGCTCCTTCTCAGCAACATGGGAATCTTGATGGCCTACCATTGCAGAGTAACACTGCTAAAGGAATAATGCATGTAGAGTAACAGTACTAAAGGAATAATGCCTGTGGAGTACTCCACACTCCACCAGGTATATAGCAAGCACGTAAGAAACAGTAGCCACTGTCAGCATCACAATCATCATTTAGTTTTAAAAATTCAAATTCTAAGTTTTAGATTTTAAATTAAATTTTTGATTAACTTCGACTTTTCATTTAATTTGAATTTAAAATTAATATCTCACCAAATGTCTACTGCTGCCCCCACCTCATACTCCACCTCAACTCCCACTCTTACTTCTTTTTCCTGTGATAAAAACACAGAACACGAACAAAGACTTCAGTGTGAGATAGAGTGCTGGCAAACACAGGTCTTTGTGGATGGCAGATCTCTAGAACACATTCACCTTGCTCATACTTTCTTTCCTTTTTTTTTTTTAGTTGGAATCTCACTCTGTCACCTAGCCTGGAGGCTGGAGTGCAGTGGCATGCTCATAGCCACCATAGCCTCGACCTGCTGGGCTCAGGCGTTCCTTCCACCTCAGCCTTCCAAGTAGCTGAAACTATAGGCACACGCTACCATACCCGGCTTATTTTTAAATTTTTTTGTAGAAACAAGTCTCACCAAGTTGTCCAGGCTGGTCTCAAACCCCTGAGCTCAGGCAATCCTCTTGCCTTGGCCTCTGGAACTGCTGGGATTACAGGTTTGAGCCACCGTGCCTGGTTCCTCATACTTTCTAGGGCAGATATCACCCACCCCAATCCGCCTCCTCAGTGGGCTCCTTCCCTCTCATCTCAGAGGAAGGGATGTCCAGCCTCATCTCTAGTGACAGTCCTCCCCCTTGTGCTCTGACTCTCACTGACACTCGTTTTTCCCTGGTCAGTCGGGTTCTTTCCCAGACTCTTCCATCATGGTCGAGTTCCTCCCAGCCTACAAACAAGTGGCTTCCCCCTTCATGCTGCACTCTTGCCCTATGATCTGATCTTCTCCTTCCCCACTGTCCTGTTTGCCCGCCTTCCCATCACTCACTCACTGTCACCCTCCATGCCTATGAAATTTGGCCATCTGGAGGATAATCAAATGGCTGCAAGGCCCAGGGGTCTCATTCTCCTCACTCTGCACACCTGCCTCACTCATTTGGGCCTCAGGTGAGTGATGCTGCGTCTTCCCGACTCCTCCTTACTTCCTACATGCTCCTCCTCTGCTCTTTCTGTGACCTTTGGTCCTTCCCCATGAAATGGCACAGATCCCCAAGTTGTGACCTTGGTTCTGCCTCTACTTCTCCTGTGGCAGTCTAGCCTTTGCTGAGGCTTCAGTTCTCATCTTTGTAGAGATGAATTCCAACCAGCAGCCTCTTCTTAGAGTCTGGCCTACATTTCTAACTATTAAATATTTGCAGCTCAACTGCAACAAGTTCTCCAAAACTTGCTCTGTCTTCCTGAGCGTGTGCACTTAATAGTACAATTCTGCAGTTTGGGATCTCACAGAGCTCAGGTGACAAAAGCATGGCTCCACTTTGTTGAGAATGCAGACAAGCACAAGTAGTCTGAAGGCAAGGCTGCAAGAAGACCCCTGGTCCCCTTGTTCTTTCCTGGAAATCACCTGCTTTTTGAGCAGTAGTGGCCGGGACTACATTTTGTGGTGACTACAGAATTTTCAAGTTCTGGAAAATTACTAACCATCTAAACCAAAATGACCCAAACTGGCATGGAAGGGCTTTAAATGATGCTGCCAGCCATGACATAAACACATCGTGGGAGAGTTTTAGGGCAGGACAAGTCACAGATCACATGTAAGAAAGACACCTTTTCTGCCTTGGCACATGCCTTCCTCCTGAAGAGAAGACAGATCTGTGCACACTGCACTTCCCTTGAGTGTACATGCCCATGGAATGTTGCTAATATCTAAATCACATTTGTCCAGATACAATATAAGACAAAACTTTAGTGGCCTGACTGAACTTGACGGGTTTGACTTAACTTGTCTCAGGTCAAAATTGAGGCCAGGTGTAGTGGCTCATGCCTGTAATCCCAGCACTTTGGGAGGTTGAGGCATATGGATTGGTTGGGCCCAGGAGTTCAAGACCAGCCTGGGCAACATAGTGAGATCTCATCTCTATAAAAAATAAAAGAAATTAGCTGGGTGTGGGGGTATGCGCCTGTAGTCCCAGCTACTTGGGATACTGAAGTGGAAGGATAACCTGAGCCCAGAAGGATGAGGCTGTCTGAGCTGTGATCGTCGTGATCACGCCACTGCACTTCAGCCTGGGTGACAGAGTGAGACCCAGACTAAAAAACAAGCAGACAAAAACTGAAGGGCTAACATCTGCTAGAATGGAGGCACCCCGTTCCTGAAGGGGTCATTCACGCCCAGATGCTGCCTCTCCTTGTCTACATCATGCTTTTAAGGGACATACATGCTGCTGATGGGAAAGACTCAGCTGAGGCATGCAGCTGTCCTTCCCAATCAATATTCTGTGCGTTCTGGTTTAAACTTCACGTAAGCTCCAGCTGATGGTGGATGCAGGTGGGTTGGAGGCCCAGCGTGCTCTCCAGCCATGGTGGGTGGGGGAGGGCTGGAAAGTCCAGTGCGTGCTCTTTCACAGCTGTGATTTACGGCTTCTCAGCAGGCTTTGCTGGAATTCCAGCTCCAGGCGGAAAGAGCCTAGCTGCTTTATGGGAGTGAGTGGGACATCCCCCTCCAGAGGCCCTCCCCTATTTTACTACAACTACTGCTCTTACTTGAAGGTTTCTAGGTTCTGTCGCTCAAGTTCTTTGTTTTCCAGTTTCTCTTGCACATGATCAAGCTTTGTTTGCAGGTGATTATTTGTCTGGAGAGCTTGCTCCAGACTCACAGCTAGTTTCCTATTGTCTTCTCTGGCTACTTCGAGAGCTTTCTGCAGAGGCTGTATCTGAAAGAGAAGAATATTTTCGCATCTACTGTAACAGATGCAAGAAGTCCCCATTGCATAGTCACTCCTGATGCTGTGGCACCAAGGGCCACTGAAACAAGAATCGGGTAGAAGCAGCAGCAAGGATTCTGGGTGCAGTAACATGTATGTGAGAACTTGTTACAGACCTTGCTCAGGAGACTCTTGGAAGGCAATGGGAAGGATGCTCACTGGTCACCAGAGAGCTTTGGAAAGCAGAGCCAGCTTAGTTTGTCCTAATTTTTAAAATTTCAAACTAAATTTCCCTTCCTGATCCTATAACCTTATTGTCTCACTCTTTAAAGAGACAAAAACTGGCAGCTGTTCCACGTATATTCTTCTAGAAAAAACTTATTTATATGAAACATCCATGTGTATTTTACATGTGTGCATATGTGTAGATACATATGCATGTATGTGCATACACCCATGAACACACACTTGTGTGCTTGTGTCTCCTTATTAACAGTGGGACTACTCTGACTGAGATGGTAAGTTATTCTTGAAGCCACTAAATTCTGAAATCATTTGTGCATTAATACATGAGAAGAATGTGACCATGTAAGACAAAAAGGGCTACTGGCTGGTAAGGATTGACTCTGTGAACCTGCAGGTTAGTTTCCTGATCGTGAAGATGTCACTGTCCAAAGCTCAGACTCGACTTCATTTTCCAAACAGTAATGGCCCCATGATCTAAAAGCACTTGCTGCTACCTCACTGCTGTGCTGCGCGTCCACAACGAGCATCCGGGCCTGCCACTGGTCCACCTCGGCCTCCAGCCTCTGTACCCTCTGCTGATTGAGAGTCCTAGAGGAGGCAGCACAAAAATGGGGTCTAAGGGAGAGGTATCTAGGCGTGGCATCCCCTGGGAGACACAGAACACTCAACACTCTTCTTGCGAGAAGCTTGAATGACAGCAGATGTCATGGGCCACAGAAGCTCAAAATACCTGAGAGCTGGGAATGACAATTAGTAGCCTTTGCTTAAGGTGAAGGAACTGAATGACTTGTCCTAACTCTCATTCAGCTTGATTCGATGCATTAGACTATCAATACATGCTTCTGACTAACATATAGGTTGGTAATTTTATATTATATATACAGCATCAGTAACAAAATATATCACCTCAACGATTATTGGCTTGCTGTCGAGATTTCTGTTTCTAAATACAACAGCTACCTAGAAATTTATTGTGACTGGTAAACAGTATTTTTAATATCATTCTCTTGACTTTTTAAAATTCATAGGTAATATACTTTCATACTATGTAAAAAATAAAGATAAGCACAATGAAAATAAAACTCACTTCTTTCATAATATAGAAGCAGTATGTACCACTAACACACACAATATATTTTAGAGGTCCTATTAAGCTCAGACCATTTGTTCTGTAACCTAAAAGGAAAATTTATTTTTGAGACATTCAGTGGAGGGGTTTACTTATAAAACATAGCTAGAAGTAGTTTTCAGCATGATTCATCTTAAAAGAGTTATTAATCTTAAAGTAGGGTAGTAATACGTGGATAACTAACTCAAACTAACGTAGGCATTTAGCTTCAGTTATCTTGACAATTACTGTTCTCTAAATCCAAAGGCAGAATTAGGTTTAAACAGTGCAGGTGGCAGTAAGGGAAAGACAGCAGCACATGAAGTTCTAGGACACGTATTCCTCCACACAGCACTACCAAGCGGGGGAATCTGAACGTCTGAAAATCATTTCTAATTCCAGATATCCCCTGACTTGCTACTTCTTGGAACACCATTTTTATGAGTCTCTTGCAAAGGAAGTAACATGGAGTGACTCCCGTTACGATGCGCCAGTCATGCAGTGCTATAAGGGAGGGGGAGACGCCACAGGTACCTTTCTTTCTTGAGGCCTGCAATCTCCGAGTCCCTCCGCCCGAGCTCTACTTGCACTTTCTCCAGAGCACCTTGCATCTTGCTGTGAGAAGCCAGCACGTTCTCCAGCATGACTGTGACTTTACAGTTGTCTTCTTTGGCCTCAGCCAATTGTCGCTGGAAGTTTCCTACCTAACAAAGTCAAGCAAGCAAGGCATTTCATCCTTTCTGGTTACTCCTGTCAAAGAGTCTGGAAAGCAGGTATGGTGCAACACTAGTGGGGAGATTGAAGTCTCTTTCATTTTTATGTGGTTTCTGGAGTTACTGTGACTTTGAGGAAAAGAGGAGCATACCCCATATCTTGTGGAGAGCTCTGTGGTCACGTACAGCTCACACACTAGACGTGGACACTGGGGCTACCATGCTCATGAGTCTAGTGGTCCCAAGCTGGCTCTCTACTGTCTTCTGATGGGTCAGATGAGAATCATACATCTGAACTCATGAGGGTTATCTGAGGAAAAAGATGATGAGAGACAGTGGAGGCTGCTAGGGATGGGTTCACAGCGTCCTCAGAGGCAAGCTCCAGCGTGTGCTGCTGCGGGGAGTCTGCGAGGGGATCTCTATCCCACCACACACACGAGCTGCAAAGGGGAAGCACCCGGCTAATGGTATGGCACGTCAGTGAAACATAAGCATAAAGGTCATTATTACTGAGAACAAATTAGAACTTTCCCTTTTTAGTATTTTAAAACAGAAAAATACAAAAAACTCATTGAGAGTTTTATGTAATATATTTTTAAGATAAATATTTTCAAACTATTTTAAAGTTATCTTTTCTCTAGAAAAAGAAATCCTCCTCTTATCAGTCCTCATTCTTTCTTACTAGTGGAAACAAGAAAAGAAAAAGCATGGCTTGGCCAGGCACGGTGGCTCACGCCTGAGAGGCCGAGGTGGGAGGATTGCTTGAGCCTAGGAATTTGATTCCAGCCTGGGCAACATAGCAAGACCATGTCTCTACAATAAATCGAAAAATTAGGCAAACGTGGTGGCGCATGACTGTAGTCCTAGCTACTCAGGAGACTGAGTGAAAGAATTGCCTAAGCCCAGGAGGTCAAGGTTGTGGTGAGTCACGATCGTTGCGATCATGCCACTGTACTCCAGCCTGGGTGACAGAGTGAGACCTTGACTCAAATAACAACAATAACAAAGCATGGCTTCTGAGTGACTTCCTAGAGAACAGACTTTTGGGAGGTTGCCTTGCCTTCTGGCTTTCCCTGACTTCCAGGGTCTCGAGGGCCCCCTTCAGTCTTTGGTTCGCCTTCAGGGTTGTGTCACGACACTTTGTTGTTCGGGACAGCTCCTCTTTACTTTTTTCAAGAATGGATTTCACCTAAGTAGAATAAAAGAAACAATAAATAACTTTTCAAAACATAAGAAATGAGTGATTAAAAGAAGATACAGCAATTTAGAAACCAAATTGAAAATATTTAATGAAATATATTTATTCATGACTATAAATAAAACACAGTGGTTTTTTTTGGTTTTTTTTTTTTTGAGTTGGAGTCTCACTCGGTCACCCAGACTGGAGGGCATTGGCCGCTCCCGGCCACCGCAGCCTCGACCTGCTGGGCTCCGGCGATCCTTCCGCCTCAGCCTTCCAAGTAGCCGGAATTACAGGCATGTGCTACCACGTCCAGCTGATTTTTTGATTCATTGTAGAGATGAGGTCTCGCTGCCTAGTCGGGTCTCGAACCCGCGGGCTCACGCAATCCACTCACCTCAGCCTCCCAAAGGCGTGGGATTACAGGCTGAGCCACCGAGCCCGGCTAAAACACAGTTTTATTAGTAGCTTATTCTTTTAAAAGGGAACTACAACAAAAATATCTGTGTGAATAAACATAGGCAAACCTAGCCTATCAGTTGCTAGGAAAAACAGGAATGGGAGAAACAAGACTATGAAGCTGAGACATAAAATGGGTTCCCATTGAAAATATAACATAAATGTACAAATTAATATGAGTATAATAAGAGCAAAGATGGATAAGCACTAAATAATATCAAGAAAATAGTGTTACAGCAGAATGAATCTTAATTAGAAGTGCAGTATTAGAACTTTATATCCTCAAAACACTTTTAGAAGATCCACACAATCATTTCAAGTAATTGTACTATTAAAAGTAGTACTTTTAAAAAACTTTTTATTTCAAAAAATTATAGGCTCATAGATTGTTGCAAAAATTGTACAGAGTCTGATGTATTATTCTTCATTCTGCTTCTGATGGTGACATCTCATATTGCTATAGTTCAACCTCAGAACCGGGACATTGACAACACTGATGTTATTACCTCGATTAACTAAATTATGGGATTTATTCAGTTTTCACCAGTTTTCAGCCTTCATTCATCTACATATGCATGTGTGTGTACTTGCATGCACACACAGTTCTCTGCCATCTGATCCCATGTACATATTAATGGGCCCCACCACCACAGTTGAGATGCAGAACTGTTCCATCACCTGAAAAGAACTCCCCTGTGTTACCTGTTTATGTGTACTTCCCTCCAAAAACCCATCCAGCCTCCTGGCAACCAACGTTTTGTTCTCTATCTCTGTAGTTCTGTCCTTTTAAGAATGTTATTTTAAATATTTTAATATAATACATTTAGAATAGGTAATACATTCATACATTTTTCTTTTGTAACAGCTTTACTGAGGTGTAACCAACATACAGTAAGCTGTGTCTATTTAAAGTACAATGTGATAAGTTTTGACATATAGATAAGCCATGAAACCATAACCAAAATGGTGAAGTTTCTCATCATCCAAAAGTTTCCTTATGCCCCTTTGGAATGTTCCCTGGTCTCTCCCTCTTCCCACATCCCCACTGATTCCGCACAGGCAGTCACAGTTGTCTGTCACAATAAGTTAGTTTGTATTTTCTAGAACTTTGTATGGAATCCTATTGTTTGTACACTTTTCTTCCACTCAACATGATTCTTCTACTCAACGTGATTATTTTGAGAGTCATTCAATTTGTGGCACATGTCCACAGTGGCCTTCTTTCTGCTCTGTGTTCTATTGTATGCATAGAGCACAATTTACCTCTTTACCCACCTACTGGACACTCAAGTTGTCTCCAGTGTTAAACTAGAACAAGAGAGCTGCTGAGAACACGTGTGCACATCTCAGGAGACACAGGCTTTCACTTCTCTTTGGTAAATACCTAAAAGTAGACTGACAGGGTCATATGGTGGTGGTATGCTCCACTTTCAAAGAAACTACTAACCAATTTTCTAAAGTGGTTGTAGTAGTAGGTGTGTGGCGGCATCTCATTGTGGCTTTATTTGGATTTTCCTAAGAACTAATGTTTAATATCTTTCAAGTGCTTATCTACCATCCATATATCTTTGCTTGTGGAATATTTGATCAAATATTTTGCTCATTCTGTTTATTAGGTTTTCTTCTTAGTGAGTGTTTACATATTTTTTTTTTTAAGAAACAGGATCTTGGTTGGGCGTGGTGGCTCAAGCCTGTAATCCCAGCACTTTGGGAGGCTGAGGTGAAGGGATTGCCTGAGTCCACATGTTTGAGAACAGCCTGGGCAACTTGGCGAGACCTTATCTCTACAATAAATTTAAAAAAATTAGCTGGGTATAGTAGTGCATGCCTGTAGTTCCGGCTACTTGAAAAGCTGAAGCAGAAGGATCACCTGAATCCAGCATATTGAGGTGCTGCGGTGTTCGTGAGCATGCCACTACACTCCAGCGTAGGTGACAGAGTAAGACTCCAACTCAAAAAAAAAAAAAAAAAAGAAGAAGAAGCAGGGTCTTGATCTATCACCCAGGCTGGAGTGCAGTGATGTGATCCTAACTCACCATTATCCTCAAAATCATGGGCTCAGGTGGTCTTTCTGCCTCAGCCTCCTTAGCAGCTGGGACTATAGGCACATGCCACCACACCTGGTTAATGTGTTTATTTTTTGTAGAGATGGGTCTTGCTATGTTGCTCAAGCTCTTCTTGAACTCCTGGTCTCAAGTGATCCACCCACCTAAGCCTCTCAAAATGTTGGGATTACAGTTGTGAGCCACCATACCCAGCCCAGTTTTCGAACTTTTTAATACACTCTGGAGACAAGACCTTAATTAGATATATGATTTGTAAATACTTTCTCCCAATCTGTAGTTTGTCTCTCCATTCTCCTAATGTCTTTGAGGAACATAAATTGTCAATTTTGATGAGGTCCCATTTATCATTCCTTTATGGTCATGTTTTTGATGTCAAATTTAGGAAATTTTTGTACAACCCAAGATCACAAAGATTTCCTCCTATTTTTACTTCTAAAAGTTTTACAGTTTCAGGGTTGACATTTAGATCTATGATCCATTTTGAGTTAAGTTTTATATGTAGTGTGAGATATGGATCAAAGGTAGTTTGTTTTTGCATATAGATATCCAATTATCTCAGCACTATTTGCTGAAAAGACCATTCTTTCTCTGCTTTTAGTTTGATGAAAACAAATTGTTCATAAAATTAATTATCTTGAATAGGTAGCACATTCACATTATTCTTAAAGCACAAATGGAGCAATAAAAATCTCCTAACCACCCAGTTTCCTTCCTCAAAAATATCGTTTATTAAGACTCACTTTCGAGATATTCTGTGTTTACACAAGTGGATATGTATGTATAGATTCTTTATCTCTCCACCCCGTTTGCATCCAAATAGTAAAGTACTATATTCTCTTCTGAACTTTTATCATTTAAACCTAATAATATACATATCTTGAAGCAGTATTGCAAACTATGGATATACCATGATTTACGTAGTCTTTTATTTATGTAATTCTGGTTGCTTCATCTGTTGCTATTAACCAACAATACTTCAGTAAGCAAGCTTGTAAGCATGTCATGTGTACAAGCCAGTACTTCTCTAGGAAAAAGTCCTAGAAAACGATTGTTGGGTCAAAGTTGTGCTAAATGTTGCCAAATTGCTCTCTGTAGGAAGTTGTGGCATTGTACACTCCTAACAGCAACAAAGGAGAATATCTTTCCCTCAAATCTATATCAACATTATTATACTTTCTTACAATTTAGGCTGGGCTCAGTGGCTCAGCCTGTAATCCCAGCACTTTGGGAGGCTGAGGTGAGTGGATTGCCTGAGCCCACGGGTTCGAGACCAGCCCAGGCAACTTGGCGAGACCTCATCTCTGCAATAAATAAAAAATTACCCAGGCATGGAAGTACACGCCTGTAGTTCTGGCTTCTTGGAAGGCTGAGGTGGAAGGATCGCTGGAGCCCAGCAGGGAGATACTGGGGTGGCCGTGAGTGTGCCACTGCATTCCAGCCTGGGTGACAGAGTAAGACTCCAACTCAAAAAAGAAAAAAAATTAATTGGCAACATTTAAAATAACTCTTTCTACAAAAATGCCATAAAAGTACAAAGGATATCAATTTATAGGTTCTGAAAATCTACTGAATTTTGTTCTAGAAAAGTACACAAGGAAGAATATAGTTTTTAAATTTTTACCAGTGCTTACAAGATACATAAATATAAAAAATGTGGTTGAGTGTGGTGGCTCATGCCTGTAATCCCAGTACTTTGGGAGACCAAGGCAAGAGGATTGCTTAAGCCCAAGAGTTTGAGACATATGCAAAAAGGACCTTGTCTCTATAAAAAAATCAGAAATTAGCCAGGTGTGGTGGCATATTCCTGTAGTCACAGCTACTCAGGAGGCTGAGGCAGAAGGATAGCCTGAGTCCAGGAAGTTCAGGCTGCAGAGAGCCATAATCACGCAACTGCACTCCAACCTGGGTGACAGAGTGAAACCCAGACTCAGTCAATCAACCAATCAATCAATCAATTCCACTAATAAAAATATTTATAGAAAGCATCTAAATAGTCGCTTACTCCAGAAAATAAGCTATAGTACTTTCTATTTTTAAATATCAAGTAACGATGGATGCTCTAAAAAGTTTTCTCTGAAAAATACTTTCCAATGTTCAATTTCTTGGATTAGCACATTTCTATTTTAAAATAGAAATAGGCTATATTCAAGAATTTTAGTTCAAATGTTAAGATTAGGTAGAAATTCTGAATTTAAAGAAATCAAAATTAGATCTAAAAAATAACTAAGTTGTTACCGTTAAGACAAATTTTCTACGTCTAAAACAAAAATTAATTATGTGCTGACCAGAATGATAGTTTCAATCTACACCATCAGTTCTTCCTGTTTGTGAAGAATCTTCCGTTGTTACGCCTGTCTTCCAGCATCATCTTTCTGGATTATTACGACTTTTCTTCATTCTTGCGTAAATCTGAAATTTCCTTAAGATTTAATTTGTGGTCTTCACTTACCGAATCCTGCTTAAGAAAAGTTGGTGATTCGTCACTCAGTAACGGTCTTGAGGCAAGAATCTCTATTTTGCCTTCTAGTCTTCCCTCCATGGTTTTAATAGCATTCAAAAGGGTCTTTAGAGAGATTCTCGAGTCTCCAATGTCCTGAGATGCTCTCATAGAAGGCAGGGTAGGTGCGAAGCTCACATGGCGTGTGGAGTTTGGAATAACACTCGGCAAACCAACTGATGACATTCTTTCCCTGACGTTGTTTGCGTGGGACCTGCTGCTTTCAAGGGATTTGGAAGATGTAGGCCTCTCTGGAGACTTCTTTTTTCTTAGAGGCATCACCAATTAAGGACAAGAAAGTCGACTAGGCCTAGAATTAGTTTTCAAGGAATAGCCACTTTACTAGGAGATATAACGATGTTCTGGCAGAAGCCACAGTAGAAAATACGTTTGAACACGTGTTGCTTTGCTTTCCAAAAGAAGAAGTCACACGGTGAAGAAACAGGCCTTCAACCAAGCTCCTGTGGGAGCGTGCACCTAATGAGGCCCCCGAGGGGTTCTGTGACCTAGTCCCTCATCAGTTAGAGCAAGAGGGCCGGAACGCTAGGAGTGTTCCACTCAAAGATGCATTCCGGCTCCTCGGCTACCAGGAGTGCGTATACACACACGTCACAGACACAAAGAAGTCACACATGCTTACACCCAAAGGTAAAGCTTTTTCAAATAGTCGAATTACCTACATGATAAATCTGTAGATCATTGAAAGAAATCGCTTTTGGTAACACCTTCCTGGGGATGCTCTTCACTAAACATTTTATATATTGCACTTGTTTAACTTTTCTCTGCTCAAGCATTGAAATGTCATATGAGCTGGGCTTGATGGCGCAGCCTGTAACCCCAGCACTTTAGGAGGCCGAGGAGAGTGGATTGCCTGAGCCCACAGGTTCTAGACCAGCCCGGGCAACTTGGTGAGACCTCGTATCTACAATAAACCAAAAATTAGGCGGACATGGTTGCGTGTGCCTGTAGTTCTGGCTACTTGGAAGGCTGAGGAGGAAGGATCACCAGAGCCCAGCCGTGAGCATGTCACTGCACTCCAGCCTGGACAAGGGAGTGAGATTCCAACTCAAAAACAAAAAAAAACCAAAAATCATATGACCTGGGAAAAATTTCTGGTCTCAACGGCCTCTGTGCTGACAAGTGTGCACCTGCACTACTCATACCTCTTTCAGGTGAGCCTCCGTCTGTTGTAGGTGTAGCTTGTTGGCACTGAGTTCTGAATTTGCCTATAATTCAAAAAACAAAGATACTTGTTCCTCACATCTGTCAACATTTTTAAGGTGCACATTCAAAAAACACCTCCCCAGCCGGGCTTGGTAGCTCTGCCTGTAATCCCGCGCTTTGGGAGGCTGAGGGTTCGAGACCCACCTGGGCAACTTGGTGAGACATCATCTCTATAATAAATCAAAAAATCAGCTGGGCGTGGCAGTGCATGCCTGTAATTCCAGCTACTCGGAAGGCTGAGGTGGAAGGATCGCCAGAGCCCAGCAGGTCGAGGCTGCAGTGGCCAGGAGCGGCCACTGCACATCAGTCTGGGCGACAGAGTGAGACTCCAACTCAAGAAAAAATACAAAATAAACAAAAAAAACACACCTCCCCCATGAAAGCATTTCTCAACGCTTCTCATCATAACAGTGCTCCCTAGGAATGCCAGTTAATACAACTGACTTTTTTTCTAAAAGGCATAACTTTCTACTTTCTAATAAAGTTTACCAGGGACATTCCTAACTGTCCTTTTAGAAGCAAGTTGAACATCCCAATCCTGCTTCAGGAATCTTTAGAAATTCCTCCAAGAACCTTGTATATGGCAAGTGCTTTAAAAATGTTTGTTGAACTAGTCAAGTGAGAGGATATTCATCTTTCTGGGACTGTGTGGTAAAGAAGGGAGAAAGACACCAAACAATTTCTTAAAAACAATATGAAGGCAATCTGCTTTTGTAGATGTTAATCACACCTGAGCATATTTGGCCTCTAGACCCTTATTCAATTTGCGTAGATGGTCATTCTGTAAACTAGTTTCAGTAAAAGATTGTAGTTGTTCTTCTAGCTGCTTAACTTTTATCTAGAGGAAAAACAGAAAAATAAGAACATTTAAAAATAATTACAGAACATTTAAAAACATATTTTTATCCATATTCATATACTCCAAAAGGGGGGAGAAAAGTAGTGAGTTTTGAAAAAAAAATTAGAGAATTCTTGAAACTTGCAAAAATCAATTATAAGTTTGTTTAATCATGCAAAAAATGCTATTTTAACTCATGCTAAAAGTAGGCTATAGTTCTTTACATGTACTGACATAACTCATTTGGTTTCTATTGCTTATAGACCTCCAAATGGACATGACCCCTGAATTCAGCAGTGAGATTTTGTGGTTGATGTATTTTAGATTTAAAGGAATTGTGATACCTGGCATTCAAAATCTTTCTGAATATGGATAATTAGAATTGTCCACGTGCAAGAGGCAGACACAGTCTTGTTTTTCACTGGCAGGGAATTACAAAAGTTGAAATAATGGAATTCTTATATGCTAAGTTATATTTTAAAAATAATTCATAAAAATTATGCATACTTTTCTCTTTTAAAAAATCACTCTTCCCCTGAAAACTGGAACAAGACAAGGATGCCCATTCTCACCCCTCCTGTTCAATATAGTATTGGAAGTCCTGGCTAGAGCAATCAGAGAAGAGAAGGCAATCAGGGGTATCCAAATAGGTAAAGAGGAAGTTAAAATATCTCTCTTTGCAGATGACATGATCGTGTACCTTGAAAACTCAAGAAAATCTGTCAAAAAACTCCTTACACTGATAAAGGACTTTGGCAAAGTCTCAGGATATAAAATAAATGTACAAAAGACAATTGCATTTCTTTACACCAATAATAAATAAACAGAAACCCAAATAGAAACCACAATTCCGTTGACAATAGCCACAAAAAAAAATGAAATACCTTGGCATCTTCCTAACCAGAGACGTGAAAGACCTTTATAATGAAAACTATAAAACATTGCTCAAAGAGATCAAAGATGACATGAACAAGTGGAAAAATATCCCATGCTCATGGATTGGAAGAATCAACACTGTGAAGATGTCCATCTTACCGAAGGCAATCTACAAATTCAATGCAATACCTATCAAATTACCAGCAACATTCTTCTCAGACCTAGAAAAACAACACAGGAATTCATATGGAAACACAAATGACCAAGAATAGCCAGAACAATCCTCAGCAAGAAAAAAAAAACAAAGCTGGTGGTATCACATTACCAGACTTCAAACTTTACTATAAAGCTACAATCATCAAAACAGCTTGGTATTGGTATAGGAACAGGCATATAGATCAATGGAACAGAATTGAGATTCCAGAAGCAAAACCTCAATTTCTCAATCAACTCATCTTTGACAAAGCCTTCTCCACCTACCACTGGGGAGAGGAGAACCTATTCAGTAAATGGTGCTGGGAAAACTGGCTGACCACATGCAGAAGA